GGCAATTTTAGCTGTATGTGAATTTTTTGTTTCTGTGTCTGGGTAGTATAGAACTGATCTTTCTAGTGATGTTTAATCTGCTGTCCTCCAGACGCCAGTGCCTTGAGTCTGCTTACATCTGCGTTTGACTTGTGCATTAAGTATTCATGTTAATGCAACTGTTCCATACATAATGCTGTCTTACTCCTGCCTCTGAAAACCTTCGCAGCTCCTCCCAGGGACCATCACAAATTTTATGTTAAAGCCACACCAATTACTTTTAAGTAATCAGCTGCAATTTGTAGATTCCAGAGATACCAGTCTAACAACTTGTGTTTTTAGTAGCTCTGCAATGCTTGCATTGCCACTCTAGTTCCAAAACTGACTCTAATCTTAGTGTTTAAGGATGCTTTTAAGCCAATGGGCATTCTCTGTTTATCTGGGTGTCTGAAACCTTGTTCTTTGATAAAAGGTGGGCTTTTTGCAGGCAACTGAGGTGTGACCAGCGTGTTTCCTGTAGTATGTGCAATTGTATCGCTTTAGGAAGGAGGCTCATGCAGAGCTTTTTAAAAGAGGCACTGTATTTAATGGGTTATGCAAACTTAATGTTGTCTTCTGTTTACAGTTGGTGCCCCTTCCACTGGGACAGCCAGTCTTGGAACGCTTGGGTTTGGATTAAAAGCTCCTGCAACAACAGCTGCCACAACAAGCACTGCCACTGGTAAGAACTTGATGCTGGAAATAGCTGAAGAGAAGGAAGCCTGACTTCAGTGCTCTGTAGTAGTGTAAAGGGTCACGCTGGTGTAGCAGCACAGTAGTTCTGACTTCTAGTGCCCTCCAGTAACTGTAAATAACACAGTGTTTCTTTTTCTGATCCTCCTTTTCTATCTCCCCGAATGTACAGTTACTTATGAGTTCTGAGAGGCTGTTGACAGCAAACGGGCTTTGGGTGAAGGAAGGTCCGTAGGCTTTGATGTTGTAGTCTGGAGCAAGTAAAGTAAATAGATTGGCTCTGCCTTCTCTAGCCTGCCTGTGCAGGTGCAGAATGGCTCTAAAATGTGAGAGAGGTATTGCGATGTGGGGAGGGAGAGGCCAAAGACTCTCAGGGAGTGTTAAGGCGAGATGTTTTGTGTTTCAGTTCTGCCCCATTAACCTGTTTCTTCCATTGTAAGTTTCAAAGTACTGGGTTAAAAAAAGAAAAAGTGGAGATGAGTGCTGTATTGAAGTGGCCACGGTCATGTGAAAATCTGTAGTGGAATTGCTGCTGCACAGTGTTGGGATTGAGGACTGAACATCCTTCTTTCAGGCACTACTTCTGCTTCTGGCTTTGCTTTGAATCTTAAGCCGTTAACTACAACTGGTGCCATTGGAGCTGGGACTTCTGCTGCCATAACTACCACAACAACAACCAGGTGAGTATTTTGTTATAACTGACTGTTTCCCGACTGGGGCAAGAGGAAATATTAATGCTGGTATCTGCTGGAGGAAGGGACCATGAGTGTTGTCATGTTTATAATTTGGTTTTTGATCTCATGTTCTGTACTGTCTTGCCCTTCCTCTCAGCGCACCTCCAGTGATGACTTATGCCCAGCTGGAGAGTTTGATAAACAAGTGGAGTCTGGAACTGGAAGACCAAGAGAAGCACTTTCTCCATCAAGCAACTCAAGTTAATGCCTGGGATCGGATGCTGATAGAAAATGGGGAGAAGGTAAGGTGACATCGAGTGTAACCTGATTGTGCTTGCTTAGATCCTAAAAGGCCTTAAGTGTTACAGATGCAGCAAGTCCTGTAGTGGGCCTTCCTGCTTGTATAAAAAAAAATAGTTGTGAATTACCTGTGGGTGCTTGTGAAAGACTCGCTGTATGTCTGTTCTGGTCTGTAGGCTTTGAAGCTTGGCAATCTGTTCTGTGAGTTTACACTGTGATAATAAGTTATCTCAGGGTGGAGCTGTCAAATCCAACCCTCCCTTCTTCAGGTTTTGGTCTGTGAATCTTTATGTAACTGTTTCTTGTAGAAACAGGAGACGATTTTATGTTGGTGGCTTTCTCAGTTCCACCACTCCTGTTTTATGAGTTGACTTCTGAATTTTCCTAGTCTACTTGAGTGTGTTCTATTTCCAGATTACTTCCTTACACAGAGAAGTAGAGAAGGTGAAGCTTGATCAGAAGAGGTACGAAACTATGAACGCTAGAGATGATTTTGTTTCTTTTTTGCGTCTTCTTCCTGTGTTGTGGCATGGCAGATCTAGAATGTCTGTAACCTCCAAGTGGAGTAGTTAACGCTTTGTCTTTTCAGACTGGATCAGGAACTGGACTTCATTCTGTCACAGCAGAAAGAGCTTGAAGACTTGTTGACCCCTCTGGAGGAATCTGTGAAGGAACAGAGCGGGACTATCTACCTGCAGCATGCAGATGAAGAACGGGAGAGGACGTAAGACACAAACCTGCTTGGAACGTGTGCTGAGGAGGCTAATGTGGTGGTGGTCAATGAGCAAGAAGGAGAGTTGAGATGCATTGACGGCCTTTGTCAAATATGTAATCCTGTTTGATGCATGGCAACGTAGATTTTATGCATTAGAAACGGGGGGTTTGCGACTGGAAGCCCTTGCGTCAGCGTGAAAAGCTCTTTGGGTGTTGGTCTAATCAGCTGTCTGGGAAAGGTTACTAATTTTGGCTTAATCTCTGAAAAATTAGTGATTATTTAGTGAGGGAAGTGATGAGAGCAGAATGCAGCATGTGTGGCTCAAGCATCCTTGTAAGGCTTAAGTGTTGAACCGTAGCAGGGTAATGCAAAGAAGCGTTTGTCTGGTTGAAGAGAGATGAGTTGTGAAGAATCTGGAGGAGCTGGTTTATTCTGTTCTGGCAAAGCCTTCCAGAAAGTCCTCTACACTATAGCTTGTCTGTCTGCATGTGTCTGGCAAGAGAGAAGGAGGTTAGGAGTTACTTCATCGGTGTGACAGGATGCCTCTCATGGTGCTGTTCCCATGTGTCTGCCAGCCTCGGTTGAAAGGTGTGGAAGCTAATTCTGATGGCCCAAAGTTGGTGTGACTGGGAGCAGGTCTTCTGGAGTTCACTTTAAATATTCTGACCTTGGTTTCCATGTGTTTTGCAGTTATAAACTGGCTGAAAACATAGATGCTCAGTTGAAGCGTATGGCACAAGATCTGAAGGACATTACTGAACACCTGAATACATCAAGAGGCCCAGCAGACACCAGTGACCCGGTAAATCCAAGCTTCATTTTTTGTATGTTGTTAAGAGACAAAGGATATTTAAACAGTTCTAATTCTTTGATTATCCACTTGTGGATATTCTGCAGCTTGTAGTTTGATCTGGATACCTGCGAGCAAATGTACATTTTTGT